GAACTGGTGACATAACTTAGAGGCCTTTTCATGTCCCACACCTGTGGGCTACGGGGAGGGGCTCGTGTCAGCTAGAAGCAGAACAAAATGTCCGAACACTTTCCACAGAGACAGTCAGAGTCCACGCAACGATTGTTCCTTGTGAGCACCGGCTTGATCAGACAAAAGCGATGGTCCCTCGCATCTTGCTGTTGCAGTGTGAATGTCAGTGACTAGGTCTTGGCATCTTGTGCAACCAGAGGATGCGGCAAGCTCAGACGTGTTAATTGCTCACAGAGCGCAAAGTGGATGCCAATGTTTTATACCTTATTTCCCAATGTCCTTAGCTGGCAGTTGTTCAGCTCCAATTTAATCTTTGCCCTCTTAGCCAGCTCATCGCTAGAGGTTTAATTGCATTACCTGCTCCTGTGTGGCACTGTTATTCTGTATGCCAAAGCAAAGCCGACACTGGCGTTAACAACCAACCCAGAATATTCCTCTTGATCCATCAGAAAAACAATGGCAGCCTGGATGGGCCTGTCAGCAGATGTCCTGGAGTGAAATTACCTACCTGCAACGCTCTCCCGCAGTCTCCTGATTCAGCCGGGCCTCGCACAGTAACCGCTGCAGCAGCACAGTCCGCTGAAAGGGCTGCGAGACAGCCTAGGCCCCTGGTCCCTTCAGGGACGGCTGAGAAAGTGGCACCAAACTCAGCCGAGCGGCAAAGCTTTAAGTGCCACATGCACCTCAATGGCAGAGTCCATAATGTTAACCTGCTCCCCGCGGTGTGTGCTTCCTTCCTGCGGCAGGAAATAAAATTCAGCCTCTTCTACCGCTCCCGCTGCGCCCTTTGTGTTGGCCTGGCTGGGCACGGTGGGGAAGGGCCCAGTGGGCATCAGGTTGCAGCAGCTGGACAACCCTGGCCGGGTGCTGCAGTGACACAGGCTGCATCGGGCAGCTTTCTTATTTCCCACTGTGGATGGGCAGCCAGGCCCATAGCCTTTGTGATGCTGAGCTGTAGCAATCCTGCCCGGTCCACACCCAGGTCACCAGCCCCGCTACTCCCCACTTTCCGACCACTAGATGTTGCCCCTCCTCTACTCGTCCTTGAGGCATCGGCCCAAAAGCTAAGAGTCCCGTGAGGCAGAAAGGAGCTAGGTGGCTCATCAGTTCCCCGGGAAATGTCCACTGCCAAGGCCGATATCGCTGTTAGGAGCTGAGCACTGCAGCGAGAGCAAGGCAGATTAACACACGCTCATATGTTTATGCTTAAACAGGCTGCTCTTCCTTTGACATCTCAGCACGCCGATGTGCAAGCAGTTGGTGCAGGTCCCTTTACATAATAATAAGCAGCGCTGGAGCAGGATTATCGCTGTCGCTGACGAAAATCTATAATTAAGACTTCTCAAGATCTATTGATTGTTTATGGGCCCAAAGGCCTCCTGGGAGTTTCACAGCTCTACATAATGTTCTCTGATTTGCATTTGGAGTTCTAATTTGGACACCAGATGTGAACGCTCGCTCTTACATGCACATCTGCAGCTGCGGAGAAGTATTGGCGAGTCCAGCAGGAGTTGGCATCAGGCTTCGAGTATCCTGCTCTTGCTTCAGACCGTACCGCGGAGCGTGCTGCGTGCTCTGCTGGGAGTGCCCGGGGGCGCTGGAGCCAGGCCTGCTGCTGGCAGAACGCATGGCCCAGAGCGCCCGTCTGCAGCTGAAAGGCACCTTGGAGCCAACCTGCCGACTGCCCCTCTCCTATGGCTGTACTGGCTCACACAGACTCCCCTTTTCCTCCCCTATCCCCGTCTTTGCCCTACTCTGGGTCAGTGTGAATAAGCCAGAGGGGAGAGAGCTGTCCCACAGCCTCTGCCTTCCCCAGGTCGTGTCAGGGAGCTGCCGAACTCCCCCGCTGGGCTGCAGCCCAGGGTCCGCGTGCGCGCCCGGGTTCCCGCAGGACAGAAGTCTGCTGGGCAGCGTGTGTGTCGAATCCTGCACGTGCTGCTGACAGCAGAAACCCACTAACGTGCACCGGGGACAAGTTGCCACCCACGTTTCAGTGACTCCCCGGATGTGGCTGTGTCCTCTGGAGCTGGATTGGCGTCGGCTCTTCTGAAGCGCTGGCAGCAGCAGGGCATGCGAGTGACTGGTGCCAGCGGGCCCAGGATCAACTCGGATTGGGGTTATTTTTAAACCACATTCTTTCAGTATGACATTGTAAACGTGCTACCTTCTGCGCAGCGGAACAGATCACCGACTGCTGCCCTGGGAAACGTCAGAAACCCCACTCCGGTGACACCAGCACGGCGCGGGCCCGCGCTAGCGATCCCAGCCAAGTGCATTTAGGCGCAAGCACAAACCCAAACATGGAGCAGTCCTTCTGCTGGCAAGTCCATGCACTTCCCTTTGCACATCTCCTTCACTGCCACAAGGCAGGATTCCCCCGTTTGCGCCAGTATTTACGTTTCCGTTCCCATGACGAGAGGCTCTGCCGCTGCCCCTTCTCCCCGGGCAAGAGCCCCCTCGTGCCCACCCAGCCGCTCCTGTACCGGGCAGGGCGAGTCTGGCAGAGGCACGGGAGGCGACGCGTAGCCGCAGCATTCCTGCGCGTCACAGGCTGCGGCCGCCCGCGTCTGGCATTCCACATACCAGCGCGAACACCCGTGTCAGGATCCAGGTGCACGAAGCCCGCCCCGCCCCGCTGCCCTGCCCTGCCCTGCCCTCGGGGCATCTCCTGGTAAGGCAGGGCCTTCAGCCGCAGCGCAGATCGCAAACCTCTGCTGGGAACAAGGAGCAGGCTGGAGGCTGAGTGCAATACCTCGGTACCACGCTACAGAGCAGCACGGCAATGAAGAGATACATACTTTATTAGCAGAAATTTTGATCAAAGTCCAGATTTATAATAATGACCCCATAAAGATTTTATCATCAACTATAAGGCCGCTCAGGCTGAGCATTGTTTGGCAGCAATCTCGCCCTTGGCAAGGATTTGGTTTAAGGTGTAGCTGAGAGCTGTAAGGGGGCTGGATGGGAAAGGAATGCCAGCTCCTACAATTGCTTTGCAATCAAAAGGCCCATGTCAGAGCTCCAGCACTCTTTGAAGCCACGCCAGGTTCTGCACATGTTTCAGATTAGCAAATACAATCCTGAGACAATGCTCGAGTCGAAGCCTCGTTATGTCCAATGGTAAAATAATGCCAGAGTCTCGATGCACCAGAAAGAGCCAGAACTTGCAGAGACTTCATCCTCCTCTCCCTGAAGCCCCCAGCTTATGGTAACGCATGTGGCTAAAACACAGCAGGGCACGCCGGCACCGTGTCGAAGCTCCACTGCAGAGGGCCAAACCCAAATGCACGGGCAGGGAGGAGCTCCAGCACTGAACACAGCTTTGCCTTGGGACACTGATGTTTCCTTGCTGCTTCTGCAGCTGCTATTTCCCCCCGTCCCCGCCCCAGCAGGTCTTCGGGGTCTACTTCTGCGCCTGTCCGCTCACTCCGGGATCTAGGGCAGGTCAGGAGCACCCTGGAGCCTGCACCCCCTCCAGAGCGGAGATGAAATCAGAATGGGAAGATCGGGACGGAGCAGATGAGAACTGCTCGACGCTCCCTGCCTCGGACCCTGCCCAGAGCAGCTCGCCATGCACCCGCTGCCTCTAACTTTGCTCTTGGGTGGGCAATGCCTCTCTGCCGGTGCTGAGCTGCCCCACAGCCTCTCGCTAGAGGCGGGCGGAAAGCAGCACGTGGGCCACGGCCACGCTCCTGCCGGAGCATGAGCAGCCAGGCGGCGCTGGCACGGGCAGGGCGGGCTTCCTGGTATGTGCCTCCCACTGCCCGCCCAACAGGCATTATTTGAACACAAAGCATATTTTGTCTAGGGCTGCTTGCTTCCCGCTTCGAAACAGGCTGGAGTGCAAAGATCCATGTGGTTATAAGTGAGAACTGGCACATAATTACATGCGTGGATTATTTCATTTCCAGGAGACTAGAAACTGCTGCTCCTCTGCTGCCTGCACAGGCAAGGGAGGCTGCGAGCAGCAGCATTTGCAGGGGAGGAGATGCAGGGCAGGAAGGGGGAAACCTTTCTGAGCTTGGGAGACCCCAGGCTACAACCCTACAGATATTTGTGCTGAAGTCATTTCTGGGATGGAGACCGGCTGCTTTTCCAAAGGAAACAACGGGGAGGCTTAAAGACTCTGCTCCCTGCACCGTGGCTTGGAACGCCCAAGAGAGGCCTCAGGCCGGAGGCTACACCACGTAGGTCTGTAAACCAGAGCACTCGCAAGGGGGGTGGGAGCACGGAAACCACGAGCTGCTTTTGGACTGTTCTTACCGAAGTGCAGCCACAAGCGCCTTTTTCATCCTGCACAAAAACATTCGCTCCCACACCCAAGACGCTATCGCCAAGGTCCCCACCCCGAGTGAAATCTTACAGCTACGTTACAAGCCACTGGAAGCAGAGATTTCTGATGGGAAAAGTCAGGAGCCCATCACCCCGTGGCACCTCAGCAATAACCAGGGTAAAATCAAAACACAACTGCCAACAAAGGTGCCAGCAGAGCTCCGGGCTGGTTGGTGTCAGAGCAAAAACTAATTTGGCAACCTCCTCAGCTCCCCTGAGAGTTTTCCTCTGCGATTTCCACCGTGGCACAAAGAACTACTGTACTCTGCACGAAAGATCCCTGGGGCAGGATTGGGTCCCCTGGGCTGACTTGTCAAATCTCGTTTAGCTGGAAATTCCTCCGTGGGTTTTTCCAAGCTTTTACGAATTGGACAAAAACATTTTATCTCTAGACCCAAAAATCACAATTTTTAGCCATGGAACAGCAGGTTTTGCTTGGGAAAAATAGCTTTTTATACAGGAGAGAGGGGGGAAAAAAGGTGACCGCTGCAAAATGTTTCCTTTTCCCAGACCTGGCTGATCTCGGTGGCTGTACAGGTATGTGCAGAGACTGCCGCGCCTGCTGGGACTCAGCGGAGCGTCTCCCAGGGGCTTGTCATGGCACTAAACAAAGTGTACAGCACACAGAGGGCTTCCCAAAATGTTTAATAAATAACGAGGATCTCTTTTTAATGTATAAACTATAAATATACCATGCAATTCTTATAACTTAAAATAATTTACAGGCTGAGGTAGGGGGTGGGAGGATGTGGTCACCAGGCTTGTTCCGTGTCAGGGTCTTCCTGATTTCCGGCTGAGCACGCACACGCAGGCGGTGTCAATCCGGATGAACCGCCAGGCAGCCTGCTTGCCTTCCATGGTCAGCGCTTTGACAAAGGTGTGTGTCGTGGTGCAGTAGGAGTTCCAATGCTTTGCATCGATCCCCCGGCACCCACTGGAGACTGGCTTGGGGTCCCTGCACTTGGTCTCAAAAAAGTACTGCTTGAAAACATTGTTGTTAATGTTCACCTCTCCCAGCACTGTCACCTCTTTGCCTTTGATGTCAGTGGCCGTGCTTTTGTCCCCGACCCACATGCTGACGCTGTCACACACCGAGAACTCCCCGCGGTGCAGCACGGGGTGGGCCATCCGCTTGGCTCGCATCGTCCTGTTGTGGGGGTGCGTGCTGTGCGCGGGCTCGGTGCTGCGCCTGGCCCCCGACACGGGCGGGGGCTGCGTGCTGAACAGAACGCGAGGGGACCGGAACCGCCGCTTCCTGAACAGCCTGGGATCCACGGTGACGTTGGCTGTGGGCCCGGCTTCCCTGCGGTCGGCCTTCGGGGGGCTGTGCGGAGCAGGCGGGGGGCCCTGCTGTGCTCTAGTCCGGGGGGTGTCTGGCGTGGTGGCTCCTGCAGGACACCCCCATGGGGCACGGTCCTCCAGCTGTGGTGCTGCCTGTGCGCCGACCCAGAGAGCTACGATCAGAGCGTGGTACAGCATGGACATCACGCTGCGCACCTACAACGGAACAGAAACCCAGCGTTACTGCGGACGGCACCAACGCAGGCCGAGCGGCCGACAACAGCGGCCTTGCAGGGCATCTGCTGTGGGAGCGCGGATCGTACGGATCTCATCAGGTGCCCATGTGTAAGCCAGATGTGCCTCCAGAACAGCTCATTTGAGCAGCATTAATGTTCCTAATAAAGTGGGAACACTGGGAAATAATAGTGGGATTATAATTAATTCCTTCGGTATTCGTTATTAGTAGAACATTGTTTATGAAGCACTTGTTTGGGGTTAGAAATGCAGAGACCATCTGGGGGCTGTGTGTTCCCTGGGGGAAAATATCCCCTGTGATTTCTGCAGCAGCCTCGAGGCCCTGGGCGGCTGCCTACCAGGGCTGCCGCGGCTGCGGCGCTGGGACGGCCTGTCCTCAGACAACCGTGAGCAACAAGTTCCACAAATGTCTCTGACTAGCAGCTCCCGCGCCAGCGCTGGCCGCTCAGCAAACAGGAGAAAAATCCATCTGTCTGGGTGTGCAAACACGTGAAATACATTTCTTCACGTCTCTAAGAACAATATTAATGCCCCAGCACGGCCTCATTAGGTACCCGCCCCCACGTCTGCTTGCTCAGCCGCATGCCAGGTAACAAGCCAGCAGCAGGCATCCCGCGAATGGCAAAGGCATTCAGCGGGACTGAAATCTCAGCAAAGGGCAGATGCCGAGTTTCCTCCACGGAGCATTAATGAGCAGAGACAGGGAATAAACAGAACTGAGAGAGGCTCCTCCCTGTCTCACTGCCCTGTTTGCCTGACATGTTTCAGCTGGCCCCGGGCTCTGCTGCCTGTCCGGCAGGCACACTCCGACTGGACAAACGGGGCAAGTCCACTTCCCGTCGTGTTCCTCTCCTTGCCCGGGAGAGAGCAGTTATTGCTGATGCTCCCTTCCCTTTGTGCTCAGACTCCCTCCGCCTCGAGCGCAGAGGGTGAAAAGACCGTGGGCCAACGCTTTGGGCCTTGGTAACTGAATCTCCCAGAGGCTGCAGGATCCTGAGGTCCCGCAGGAAACTTATCTCAGATAAGAGCTAAACAGTGGGTGATTTGATGGATTCAAGAAACTAGTGGGAGATGCCAAGTGGGGGGAGTTTCTGCAGAGAGCAATGCTACTCAAGTCCCTGAAGCAAGGGGAGGGAGAGAGGGAGGCCAAGAGCCACGTTAGCAATCCTCTGTGCAGCAATCAAAATTGAAGGATGGAGGGAGAGGCTGGTCTCACTGCTGAAGAAAATCCTCACCAGCCCAAAGTCAATCTTGTTCAGACTTACAGCAAAGTTGGGGGCTGCTTCCTTTCCTGCACGCCGCCTGGCCCTCGTGCGCTACGTAAGGAACGGAGCTGGGAGCAGCAGGATCGCCAGGCTATCTGCGAGGCAGCCAGTAACCCCCTGTGCTCCGACGACTCAAATTGGAGTCAGATGGTTCGCAACATCTCTACGGTTTGCTTTTTCCAGCAGAAATGTTACTGAGAAAGGGCTGCACAACAAAATCCAGACGCAATCGAAACATGCCCATAACAGCCCCAACCTATTGTGTTTACATACAGACTTCTGTTTACATTTCCTTCGAAAGGAAGCAGAGCTTGGCCATGCCAATTCAAGGCGATTCTCTAGTTGTTTCACGTGGGATTCACTGGTCTGAAATGCAACCAGGGAAAATGTACTAAGGTCACCGCACTGAACTACTCGTGCCCAGCTGAAACCTCCTCACCTGCCCCTTTGCCCCCTAACTTTGCAACTGATCCATATTTCCCCCACTGTGGCAAAGCTTTCTGCTGGGCACGTGGCAGGAGGTAGGTTGGCCAGGAAGAAGGTGTCTGTTTGCAAAATCACACAGGTGGCTACACTCAAGAGGCCGCGCTGGCTGGCACAGCCATGTCTGGAGCACATACGTGCTTGCTGGCACTGAGGGCCATCCACAGAGTTACTCTGTTTGTTTCTACTCTTTCATTCCCAAGCTCAGCAGTCAGTGGACTCCTGCTCTCTGAAAGTGTTTCAAGTGCATGCCAAGGGAGGCTGAGCTGCCAGCCTTAGGCACACAATGCAGGGGCATCCCTTGGCAAGCTCTGGCCACGTGGGTCCTCGCTAGCATGTCAGTTCTAGGAGCCCATCCGCGAGCGTGGTGAGCGTTTTCTAGCAGCCGCGACTCCCGCAGGAGTCGCTCCCATTAGAAGAATGGATGCACCTTAGTGCCAGAAGCTGGGGACAAGCCATGAAACTAGAAAGCACTTAGCAGAAAAGGCGACCGCTCGCTCCATAAGCCATAAATGCACCGCCAGCCACCTTGGGGGGGTAGTAAAGGAGTAGGCACCTGGAGACAAAGCAGGTCAGTTGCAAAGTGAGCGTGATGAAGTCTTCTGCGCTTCCTGCTCTGGAGCCCCGACCGGCCACTCCCGGGGCTCAGGGAGATGCCTCCTTTCCCGCAGCCGGCCGTGCAGCGGGCCAGGGCGCTGCCCCCCCCTCTGGCACAGCAGGGCTGACCGCCATCTGAGGTGGGCGGGCGCGGGTGGGCTGCTGGTCTCTCTGGACGCGGTTGCTCCGCCTGTGCTTACCTCTGGGTAAACTGAATAGAAAACCGCTGGCCAGGGAGGTCTTTATTGCGTCCAGACGCTGAGCGGAGGGGGGATGCTGCGTGCCATCAGACCTGTCTGACTGCGTGGCGGAGTCTGCCTGCTGCTCTGGCTGGGCCTGGCTGCAGGAATAAAAGGAGCTGTTTCAGTAACAACCCAGAAAAATGAGCTTTTCAAGCAAACCTCCCCAGCTGCGAGCAGGAGTTGAGCCGGGGCCTGGCAGCTGCCCTGGTGAGAAGCCTGCTTGCTGGGCTCTCTCCACCGGGCCTTTCACCCTGGTTTTACCGCCCAGGAGCTGCCTGCAGTGCATCTTGCACTGTTTTTCATGGATGCAGTCCTTGCAGCACAGCCACAGATCAGCCTTATCCAGTGGCTGAGGCTCTTTCTGGCTCCTCTCTGTCACAACTCCTGATTCCTGACCCCTATCCAGCATCCTCCTGTCTCCCCAGATGCAGAAGCAAGGCAATGTGGGAAGGTGATGCCTTCTGGTGCTACCACTAGAAACCAGGCTGTGACCTGGATCCAGACCTGTCCTACAGGCAGGGGCAAGTCCAACTGAAAAGCTAGGATGGTGCAAAGCACCAAGCAAGTGCAACCGCGGTCAATCCCTGAGTTCCCTGAACTGGCACCATGGGTCGGGACAGCACCGCCCCCAGGGCGAAGCACTGTGGGAGGAGGCCTGCCCTGCACTCGGCAGTGGTGTGACCACACATCGGTGACCTGTGCTCTTCCTCCCTCCTCCTGGGACTGGGAAGAGCCTCTCCTACCTGTGAGGTCCATTACATAAGGTCCCAGGCAGCAAAGCACGTGTTATCAGGCCTCGCCTCCCAGTACGTGAATGCCACAGGGCTCTGGGAGCGGCTGCCGTGCTGGAAGGGGCCCGGCGTGGGCCGTGTGAGGTGGCAGCCGGGAATCTGCACACGCCTGGCAGGGCATTGTGCTCCTGGCATGCAGGCGTGAAAGACACTTCAGCTGTTTTTTAGACTCAAAGGGCTGATCTGCAGGGGTAAGCAATGCCTTGGAGCGCGCCTGCGTCTGGGGGGTGCGGCTACAGCAGTGCCACCGAGGCTGCTGGGTCTTTGACTTGGGAAGTCAACAGACGCCACATCCCACTTCACTGCGCTGATCCCAGCACCCTCGAGACGCGCTGGCTGCCCACGTTCTGCAGCAGAGCTCGTTCAAAGAGGACGTTTCAGAATCAGGCTGGTGACAATGACGTGAATGTGTCCAAGGTTAAACAGCCCTAGAGACAAACGCTCTGTGCTGTAGATCTGAGTACACTGCATTTTTGCAAGAATGTACTAGTAAAATAATAACCCTTTCAACGTAACCCGTCAGTTTAGTAACACTAATGATAGAGCTATAATATACACGCCACTGCCAAAAATAATCCAACAACTTTTCCAACTGTTCTGCCACCCTAAGAAAACACAGCCTCCCTCCAACTGGCCACTTATTTCACCACAAGAGAGAGTTTTGTCTCGGCAGTTTTTTTTCACTGTTCTTTTACTCCCGGCTTCCCGGATTCACCGTGGTGGCAGAATCCGGTAAATGAGCAGTGTCCTGTGAATGATGCTGAAGACGGCGTCTGTTGGTTTCCATCAGGCGTCCAAGTCTCAGGGATTCAGATCATTTCACAGAGAAGTGAAATGTACTTCACTTACCTTTTCTGGTAGTTATGCTAGTTTATACCCATTCCACAAACATGTCACTCTGAATGGCAAGCCATGCATTTTTCCTCTCTCTTTCTAGCCTCTTTGCAAGTGGCATCTTCCAAATGCACATAACATTCGTCACACTTGAGTGTCTCGTGGTGATTAACATTAAAACGGAACGCAACCCAACACTTAAAACTACTAAAAAAACCCAGGCAAGTGCAGCCTGGAAAAGGCAATAACCACATTTTAAATAACCCTTCCCCCTTCTCTCTGCTTTGATCATCTGTTAGGACCTGTCCAGCATACAACAAAGGAACACCAGAAAGACGCAGAGCTGCCTGAGATCAGCTGCAAGCTAACAAAGAGCTGAACACCATGATGGTTATGGAAAAGATGACCTGTGTTAAACAACAAAGAGAAAAGAGACTCTCTAGTTGCCTGGGAGGTCTTAAGCAGCGTGTGCAGGCAGATGTGGGCAAAACAAGTGGTGGCCCAACACCACACAAAGCAAAGAAACGTCTTTTCCTTTGACTACCATCCCACATGCTCTAGGAGCTGCTCGTGACAACAAAAAGAACAAAAGGGATACCTTGTCTGGCTATAGAGTTATGTCATACTTAAAAAGCATTACCTGATTTACTCCAGAATGGATACCACTGGCTAAGATTATTGACATTAAAAAAAAGAATCTTTTCCTTAAGCGAAAAATGCAAAAATCCTGCCTCACTGATCTTAGCGCTCTTACGTTTGGGAGCCTGTTGGGCTACGGCTATACTGCCCCATTGGAAGAATTGGGGAACAGCCTGTTAGAACACTTTGCATTTTGGCAGCAGCAACTTGTACTAGAAATATTTTTAAAATCTATTAAGGAGCAAGACCTCATTTATTAAAAACATGGTAAAATCTTTCTTGAAAACTGCAAAGCTTGATCCAGGGTCCTTATGAGGGGGAGGGAGAAAGACCTGTATAATGATGAAACAAATTCAAGCGTATGGCGGTAGCCCCCTGAACACGCAGCAAGTCCCTGCAACTTAGCCTCCAGCACAATCCTCTCTGTTCCCTGCAACATCACCGCTGCAGAAAAGTGGACGCACCCGCACCCCGGCAAACTGAATGGTTTCACAAGAGGGGATACCTTAGCCTCCAGTGTCCCGAAAGGCAGCACATGGTTGGGTCTCTGTGGTTAAGTGAGGCCTGGGGAGCTTGTGTTGGCACCAAACCAGAATGCCCTTTCTTGTTGGAGTTTGTCAGACTCCTAATGTTTTCAATAGGTCTGGAGAGGGGGGTGGTATAATTTTAACTGACAGGATGGGACTCAAAGATGCAGGAGGTCTCTTCCTGTCTTATGTTCTTATGAAATTGGCTTCTATCATGAAATATTATTATATGCACTTGGTGGTAACTGCCGAGACGTCAACAAAGTGGTTGGTTCTAATGAAGGCTGGATTTCAAGGGTATTTTTAAGTTTATGTTTAAAGCGGATTCATCGAGCTCTTTCATTAAGTCGGTAGCAAAGGTCATGGGGGGATGAAAACCTGCTATCCTAAATTTACTTGATACACATGTAATTACATTCCAGAAAGTTCACAATCTTCTAGTGTTTCTTATTTCTGGTTCCATTTGACCATGACATCATGAACAAAGGACAAGTTTCCACCAGGGAAATTCACTCAAGGGCTAACAAGAGCTCCACAGTGCCTGTCTCTCCCCAGGGACTTGAATCATTTTGAGAAAGAGAATCCCCCAGATTAAGAGCAGATTTCTTTTTTTCCCACACCTATAGAATGAAGGAAACCAGCCGCTTTCCCCTTCACCACTAACCTAGCGCAATTTGGATAGTTAAGATTCAAAGGAACACGAATTCCAGCGATTCAATTCCCAGCAGAAATTGCAGTGCTCGCCCCCCACCCCCGATTGCCTTGTTTCAATTACAGCCAGTGCTCTGAGCACGGCCACTCTTTTCTTTTTTATAAAGCAAGAACAATATGGCTGTTCTTGTGTGTGCGGCATGTCCTACCCTCCCCCCGCCAAGCAGCCATATTGCGAGGGCAGGCAAAATTATTTGCTGCCAGGACTAAGACTGCTGGAAGTTTTAGCAGCTGCTGCACACAGCGTTTCTTGCCCCTCTGCACAGTCACTCTGCACCTCCACAACGATCATGTCATCAGAAGATTAGACATGTTGCAGCCATGCAATCCAGCCCAGTGATACTCTCCCTTCATACTGAGTCACAGCTTTTGCCTTCGTGTGAATCACTTTGCCTGTTGCTCCCCCAAATCCAGCGTATCCAACAGTAAACCTTAAATGTATCCGCCAAATCATGTTCTGGATACTTAAAAAATATCAGCGGTCCATACACGTTATTAACATCAAAAGAAGTAATGTATGCTTATGACCATGTATCCCCTTCACAGCAGTTCCACGAGGGCTGCTGCTCCCCGTTCACACCTCCTTTAAACTGGGAAAACTTCTCTGATTGCTCTGAAGCTCCACCCGGTTGCATTGAGATAGATTTTGGATCCAATTCGGATATCACTTTTAAGGCGAAAGGTATCAGGAGTGGGTCTATTCTCTGCTGCCAAAAGCTTCTTGTACTCTTGAGCAAGGAGCTATATGGGCATTTGATTCCAAGAACGTATGGGAACAAGGAAGGCCCTATGGAGTTAGCTTCTGCAGCACTGTCTACGTGATCTGGGTGTTGGGAGCTATGAATTCTTGCTGAAGCAGGAGAGCAGGCGGTAGGGAATAAACATCTTATTATTAGTCTGTCAGAGACCAGCGTGCATTTGTATGTATGAACAGCTCGTGCTTCCCATCGTGCTTGCTGGAATGTATTCTCACGACATGGATTTTCCTTGTGGACTGCCACACTCCCGTCCTCCTGTGAGGGTCTGTCACGCAGCTCCATAAGGATGGTGATTTCATTGCTCTGTCATACCCCATAAGGCAAGACATGAAAGATCAGGAAAATACATAAAACCTGGTTGAGCAATTGGTAATTAAAGCCATACTGCTGTGTTTCCATTGCCGTGGCGCAAACTGAAAACCAAGCTGTGAGTTTGCAGCAGGGCACCTTGACACCTCACGTAATCGGTGGCATGGTCCTACACAGGTAGGGACGGCCCCGGGGAGAGCGCAGCGGCTGCTGTTTGAGCTGGGGGGGAGAATGGGCCAGCCTGCCTGCAGGCCCGTGATGCTCTGCTGCTTCCAATTACACCCCCAGCCCCCTCCCGACTCGCGGCACCATTATTGCTATTCCAGGCGCATGTCTAGGCTCCCTTCTCACTTAAAAAAGACCCGTTTTCTTTCATCTATCTTATGCAACAGTATCAGGTCACTTTTTTCCACCCAGACGGTTCACACCTGAGGATGAGGCCTGCTGCTGCAGCTCACACCTCCAGAGCTGGCTATCGCAGCAGAATGTCTGACCGTAGCCGAGGTCTGAAATAGCAGACTGCTCAGCTTTCTGCCCACGCGCTCGCTCTCTGAGGATATCCACTGTGGGACTGGAGCACATGTCTTCTATTAATTTACTTTTGTGTGGTCCAGTGTTGGGCAAAACTTTTTTTCCAGTGGTGAAACCAGTCTAAAGCTGTGTTTCCTTGCCATGATATAAAACCTCATTGCTGTTTTCTAACACCTTCCATAGAGGATATCAAAGCACTCACGAAACACCTGGGACAGAGAGGACTCACTTGAAGAGGGATGGATAGAGCTACAAGGAGGGAAAGGCCTGGTTTGCAAAGGCATCTGGCACCATAGTACCAGCTTCCTACCGAGCTGTTGATAATGAACCTAGGTTAAGGCAGGAATTTCCCTTTAGCATGAAATCCTGTTGTTAAGCCCACCGAAGGGAAGCTGCCCAAGAAGGCAGGTTGGCTCTATTGGTGTTAGTATAGAAGGGCTGTGTTCGCTATCCAGTCCTTAAATGTGCTGAGGTTCCCCGAAAGCTTCACACAGTGCAATTAGGAACGTAATATTGTTCTTCATGCATAGCATTCAT